ATTATCGACTTTCAGAAGATTCTCTGATAAAAACGCTGTATTAATATATTTGAAAGGCTTATTTAATTCCTGTTACCTTTCTGATCAAATCAGCAAATCCTCTCCAGGAGCCACCTGTTCCATGACTGGAAAAACTAGCACAAGACTAGTCTTTCACTAGTTTTCTACTCTTCCTTACACCACAGTACCTTCAGTTTCCTATTCTCTTGGTTATCTAAACACACCAAACAGCATGTACTGCAGTTTATTTGGAAGATAATATTTCAGCTGAGCTTAAAAACTTTCCTCACCAAGAAGATTAAATTGTGTCTCTAGTCGCTATCCATCACCAAATTTTCACACACACATTGAAGGAATCTAAACTCTCAAATTCGGTTGAAATAGGTAAAATAATTCAGAGGCTATTTTTGGAGGAAGAAAGAACTGCTGGGAGAACTGGTAACCACTTTGGTCATACATCATGATAAAGCAGGCTAAAAATTAAGTACATATGAAAGTACTACACACTCCCTCATCTTAAGTTATCCTTCCCAACACAAAAATGCCTTAAATAAGTGAAAATACTAGCATGTCATCCACATAAGCAATGAGAAAAAAACACCTACTGCAGATCTCTGCAGGAAATCATATCACAATATTGATTTATGCAGTTCTCTCACAAGATTGGGTTATAAACAGAAGCAGTGACCAGTACTAGAAGAGAATTTTGGGTGCCATAACACAGTATGCAGACTGTGTAGTCTATAAACAGAAACTAAGGTCAAAGGAATATTTTCTCCTCCACAGCAGAAGAGGTGAGGGACTCAAGTAAAATAGTACCTCTAATTACCACTGAGAGTTTCCTCAAAACATCACAAAGAGAAAACACCTCACCTTTAGCACAAAAAGCCAAATCTTACATAACATTGTTCCATGTATCAGTTTTCCAACACTGTAGAACAATTATGTTTTCAGAAAGATCAAGTTAGTTCGCCAACTAACATGGAACATTTTCACCCACTTAATGATATCTGAGGGCTCTGCTCTTCTTCAAAGTCTCCCAACAGCTTTTCAGATCAGTCAAGTTCTCAAGGAATTACGATGGAATTATCTGTTCCATTGCAATCTCAAAATTTACTTAATTCCCCAGAGCTTTTCTAAAATTTCTCTTGATCTGTTGTTGATACATTCTATTCATGAATTACAAACCTTTTTGTGAAACAGTGATATGGTAGGTAAACATGAAAGAAAACATCATTCCCTATAACCACATATAATTTGCTGTGTCTCTTCTGGGAAGGCCGTCCAGACAGCAAGATAATAAAGACTCTGTCATCACTAACTTGGAGCAGATTGTTCCTTGTGACTTATGAGATGGAGAAAAGACTTAAGAATTCATTACCAATTCCCTAAAGCCGTCTTTTCCTCAATTTTTAATGTATTAAGTGTAAACAAATCCATTTAATACATTTGGTATTCTAAACATACACATTGCTGGATTTTTTAATTCAAGGACATAACCAATTAAAAGAAATTTAATTAGTATGAGAGTAGAATAAAACTTACTATGAAGTCAAATTAAAAACCATCACAATCACAAAGCATAATTATATAAGCCCCTCTCTAAACATAAAACAGTATCTGCTGTTATTTTATGGTGACAGTTTTTAAAAAATTGCATTAGCAAATTAATACAGTCAATCCCAAATACAAACATGCTTGGTACATACAGTGATATGTTTTAACCTGAACCACTCTGCATAATGCTACATGGCCAAATTTAAACAAGCATCAAATGCTATTTTTGACATTTATTATTGTGTTTCTGTACTGCATTGTCTGCTCCATGAAGGGCAGTTGCATCTCAAACTACCCAGAACTACTATCCTGTCAATGCAGAAGAAAGCTATTTCTGCCACTCAAAAATGGCGCCATTGTCTCACAGTTCTTTCTCTTCCTCCTTTCCTTTTATTTGTGCAAGAACTAATATTTCTGCTCTTGGTAGGTATGCATTCCCAATATTTTGATTATTTTATAGTCTTTCACATCTACTTAAATCATACAAAAAACCAACATCAAAAAAAAAAAAAAATCTAGTCCAAGCACTGATTAAGTCTATAGGCTCTGAATTCTGCTTCATGACTTGTGTTAAAATACTCAATTAGTTCACCTCATTCCTTGTGAACAGTTTTCCATATCAAAAAGCCCACTGTCACACACAGTATTAGTCAAGTACCTTGACGGTGGCATCCAGTACATTCAGCTGTTTGTAAAGCCTTTTCAATATTCTTAAACTATTATGACATTGTCTTTAGCCCATCGTTTTAAATATTACTCACGCATACATTTTAAATACAAAGACATCAGTACTGTATCCTTGTTCTCTGTTCTGACTGCAGACAGGCAAGGATCACTGCTTCCATGATTTTGCCTGTGGAGCAGAACTGACAAGTCATGTTCCAAAAGACCACTTACTGAGAGACTACAACATGTAAGTGATATTTTATCCTCTTGCCTGTATCCAAATAACTGGTCAAAGAGGTAGATAAAGAACCGCCAAAGTCCTAGCTCCAATGTGAACTTCCATGTACGAAGACACGATATAAGAATAGTAATAAATGTGTTATAAGCAAACATTTAAAAAAATTAAAAAAAAAAAAATTAAATGCACAGAACACTATTCCCAAAAATTTCCTACAAAATATGAAAAGACTCAAAGACATCAGTGTCATAATCTAACAAGAAAAAAAAAAAAAAGAAATAAGTGAATGTAGATAAGAAAATTATAACTCAGTGACCCTGAGGGCTTCTGGGGTATAGTCTGGAACCCCACACTTCTAAGACGCATAACCATTGTGTAAAAGAGCTCAGTGACTTCTCATCAGCAGCTTCTCTGCCCAGTTATAACTGAACAAAACAAAACAAGTATTTAAGAGGAGCTGAAAAAGATGGCACATAACCAGCTACACCAAACTCTTACTACACTTAACTACCCAAACTATCACTCACAGACTGTGCATCACTCAGACTGTGCTTCTTCAGAATTATTTGGACAATCAATTAAGGCAGCCTTGCAATCGCCTTCTTTTTTCTCACTAAGCAGCAGCATAAGCGTTAGTCTTCAAGGTATGAGAGTTGAATATTTAACACACGACTTGAAGCCATTTTAGGATTGAGAAATTTCTAGGGATTAAGTGTCAATCATTATCATTCTGGCACTAGGAAATCACAAGTAACAATTTCAAAAGTGGCAAAATGAATTATACTCAACTGCTGAATGCCTGAGTTCTTGACTCTCCCTCTTAATTTGGAAGAGCCACCAGTAGCTCCCTTAATAGCTTGGAGCCTTTAATTACTTATTATAAGCACACAGGCCAAGCATTCTGGCAGGGATATGGCCATCACATGTGATCACCACAGCAGACTGAAGAAGACTGACAACAAAAATGCCTGTTAACTTCTGAGAAAGATATTGTCAGTGCCCTAGCCAGTGTAGTGGTCTTAGAAGAAATACCAGTTTATACCTCCTTATTGGCAGGTATTTTGTAAATTAAAAGTTTTGATGAAAACAGGAAACACTATCATAGACTGCATGCTGTGCAACATTCTTTGTTTATGTGTCATTCATTTTCTTTTTCTATTTTCTATGCCAAATCAACTTCACTTTATTTACAGGAGCTAGAATTGGTACTTTCTAGTAGTAGGAAGAAAAGCACCAGAAAGTCCCTAAAACTAGAAAACCAACTTCCAAACTTAGAAAGCTGGACACTGGGTAGAGGCAATAGAGTGACTCTCAAGAGAGTGAACAGTAGCCATATGTAAAAAGGTGTTGCAAAGAAGCTGGAATAAACCCATGCAGGAATGAGGAATATTTGGATCTGCAAGGCTTTAGCTGAATATATTGTAAACATATTTCCTTATTACAGCAACAATTAGGGTAGGCAAAGCTTAATCAATAATGTTGCAAATGGAGAGATCCAGAGCTGTGGCATGGATTAGCAATTCCTTAACTGATTTCTAATGTTACATTTCAATCAACAGAAATTCTCATCTTAAATGGCAGGCCCAGAATACATCGATTGCTCTTAGATTAATACTGAGCTTGTGCTTTCTACAATTTAGACTTTTACACCGGTTACATTTGCGCTCTTTTGTTCCCAATACAGTGACCTCAATTAACAGGCATGTTTGTTATTTATACATCATGCACCACAAAGTCAATAGTCTGTCCTGCCCACAATTACTTTTATTTGACAGAATCTGACATGCATGTATACTCTAAATTACATACATTGTTTACATACTGAGGGGAACCTTTTGGATAGGAAATACTTTCTATTCCATGCTCTTGAGAAAACAAATCAGTAGTAAACTAGGGCCGTAAGCAGTTATATCAGTACCACAATTTAACGCAATATGGTTCCTCACTTTGGCTCGCTCACAAATGGGATGCCAAAGGAAACTGCAGCTCATTCAGCAGCTGGAATGATGTATTGTCTAAGGCAAAATTTTAGAGCAGTCATTTATGAGTTTACTAAGCTTAAATTGCAAACAATGTGTGTGTCATCATTTTCCACCACTGAAAATTTCAAAATTCAGAAAATATTTTAATTATTAAAACTAAATGCCTACCAAAATCCAAACCAACTCCACCAGCGCCAATTTCAAATATTTTTCAGAGGTAAGTTGTCCACACATACACGTAACTGAACATTGAAGCAACAATTACTTTAAAAGCCATTAAAATTAATTTATATTGTTTAATGACAGGATATAGATAGATGATTAAGTTACTACACAACCACAGTTACTTCATTTTTGCACAAACCTAACCCACGGTAACCACCATGTCCAAAAATATGCCACAGCAAAATAAGCTGGAAACCAACTGTTGCAGAGTAGTTGTGGGTGGGTAACTTGCACCTTGTTTCTTACACCATCGTAACTTGTCTGGCTGCTCCAGAAAAATAACCTTGAAATTGGAAATCACTGGACTGAATGTTGTATGCAGGAGTACTTACCATGAGTATAGAATGGTTCCCACCACTGATGCAAGTTTGCTGTTCTCTTGCTTCTGCTTTGCAAGCCCAAAGTCAGCTACAATAAGGAAAGAGAGATTCACATGTCAATAACTACCCTCTTAACATGACAGTTGGTGCCGGTTCACAACATCTGAAAGCTGAGGGAGGGTGGGAGGGAGGTTTGGGATTTTTTTTTATCTTTTACAGTTTGCAGTACTGGACCATACTGTCGTCTTAACTCCACACTAATCAACTTGTTTGAGTCAGACCTACCAGCTTTAAAAATATTATAAACACATCTCTGATGCTTTCAATTCAAACTACATGATCGGTTTCAGGTTTCTATTAATATATTCCAATAAACTGCATGAGAATGGTAATTATCTAAAAAGCAGTGATCTAATGCCCAAATTAATGGAAAAATAATGTAATTAAGTTAGTGATTATTTTGTTTTCCTTCAAATTATGATAGCTGGAAAGGGCAGACTTTCTGAGAAATTCAATTTCAAAGGAGTACAGGGGGTCTAGTATCTGAATAGTTCAAGTTTGAAGATTGCATTTGGTAAGAAATAATAGTGAATCTTAGCCTTACCTTGTGACAAAAGTCGTAGATTTAGATGATCATGCAATTATGTTAATGTAAGTGCTTTTTATGTAATTATCAGGTAGTCTTTCACAAAATTGTCACACAGAGTCTTTAGGGATGATGTTTTAATCTAAGTTCCACACAAAAAGTTCGAATTTGTTTTTTCATTTCAATACTCTACTGCTGCCTCAATGCAGCTAAGATAAATTGCCCTTTATAAAATCCAAACACAGAGAGCAAGAGAAAATCATAGAACCATAAAATCATTTAGGTCCAAAAAAACACTTAAGATCATTGAGTCCAACTGCAAACCTAACACTGCCAAGTCCACCATTAAACCATGTCCCTCAGCACCACATCTACATATCTTTTAATTACCTCCAAGGATGGGGACTCAGCCACTTCCCTGGGCAGCCTGTTCAATGCTTGGCAACCCTTTTGGTGAAGACATTCTTCCTATTATCCACTCTTAACCTTCCTTGGTGCAACTTGAGGCCATTTCTTCATGTCCTATCAGTTGTTACTTGGGAGAAGAGAGTAACATCCACCTCACTACAATCTCCTTCCAGGTTCTCATTCAATGGTCAAGGATTGAGTGCACCTTTGCAGTTAATACTGAATTGGGCAGGAATGTTGATCAGCTTGAGGGTAAGAAGGCTCTACAGAGAGATTTGGGCAGGCTAGACTGATGGTCTGAGCCCAGCTGTATGAGTCTTAACATGACCAAGTGCTGAGTCCTGCACTTGAGTCACAACAATCCCATGCAGTGCTATAGGCTTGAGGAAGTGTGGCTGGAAAGCTGCCTGGTGGAAAAGGACAGGGGGCATTGATTGACAGCCAGCTGAACATGAGCCAGCAGCGTGCCCAGGTGGCCAAGGCGGCCAAGAGCATCCTGGTTTGCATTAAGGTCTGTTAATAGATTTTGGATTGTAATACTACTGAAGAACTTGAATGATTTCTGTGGTAAATAATATTGTTTAAAATATTTTAAGGCTCCTGTTCTACTTGGACAGAGCCCATAGCATTTCTATTCCAATTGTTTTTACAGTGAGATAGTTCATAAACATTTTAGTTCAAAATATTTCTACTCATCAAAAAAAGCTGCAGATCAGAAGAAACACAGGTAAGAAAAATTCATTTCAGTTGGCTCTTGATCAGTGTCAGCCTCAAGGGTCTGAGAAGGAGTAGGTGTCTTATTCAAAAAGGGTCTTTGATAAGAAAGCCAAATCTAGGTACCCAGCCCACAGATCATTTTTCTTTGAAGAAAATGCTCAAGGATGGACTAGCTCTGCAGTGCTTGGAAAATATAACCAGAAAGAATGTTAAATTAACAGGATCGCTGAGAAGCCTCCCTTTTGCCCTTGACTTAAGACAGTCCTCAGGCAGCTCATTCCCAAAAGGACAAGAGGTTTTTGCAACGTTGATGTTTCCCTGGATTAATTGGGCTGAATAATTCTAAATTCCCTCCTCCATAATATTCTATGAAGAAAGAGTATTAAGACATTTCATCAGTCAATAAATTCAGTTCCTGGTGCTTGAAAGACTTAGGAAAGGAAAAAGGAGAGATGGACACCTTGGTTCTGGAAGTAATCTATTTTAATACATTAGTGATTATCTGGAAAAAAAGCAAGCAAACGAAACATCAGCCAGGTGGAGCAGCTATATTCTCTTCCATTTAGGCTCAGGTCCTCAGAAACGGAGGAAAAAAACTGTTTCACAGGCAATAACTTCTTCCAAATTCTGCTAAACTGTCTTGACACCAGCAAGCAGCTCCTAAGTAGAACTGGTGCTGCTAGAGCTCAGGAATGTAAAGCACAGGACAATCAGCTTTACATTAAAAATAAATGCTTTTTCTAAGGTTTTTGAAGTCCGTAATTCAGAATTGAATGAAAAGGAACTGGCAAATGTTGAACTGCATCGAACTAGTGAAATTGCTTCTTTTAATTTATTTAGGCATCTGTCTGCAGCTTATAAATTGGTCTGCACTTTTCTATACTCCAGGATTCTTTATTTGGTAAAAAAACACTGACAAATTTATTTGGCAAAAAGTTGCTACAATAACTAACAAACAAATTAAATAATTTCTGAGAACTGCAAGAGGCATGCCTCCCATACTATTAAATGAAGATATAACCAAATATAAAAATGACCCCTATTAACTGGCATTGCTTCAGCTGTGAATTGACACTTGATTCACGAGGACCCTTTGTGACAATTCTAATTCAGCAGTTCCCTGAAAGAGCTTCATACCATAGCAGTATGTCTTTTTGAAGCTGGAGCAAAATTGCAAGACAAAGATACCTCAATACTTGCTCAATTTCTTATAAACTTTAACCAAGTGTCAGCTTTTAGGTCAGAGAGAGACCCACATAAATCTTTGATCTGATCTATTGATTCTTCTGTTATGATCTTATTGGTTACTTCTGAAGTTCAAAATCCTACTGAACCATTCGATTTACTACAGTTAATTCATTCAGTGGTACACCAAGCATGAAGACATAGCTCTTAGGCAAGAAATGGGCCCTTCCTCAGAAGCCAGACCTAACCAATTCACACCTATGTATCTGAACACAGATACATTTGATCACAAATCTCAGCAATGAAACACAAAACTTACAGCTTCCTAATATTTTCTTACAGCTTCCATTCTCACACCAAAAAAAAAAGTAACCAATCTAGTAAACAAGTTCTCTAGAATAAAATTTCCATGGCAATAGTTTTTGGTGCTTTGTCTACTGTGCATACTGTGCAATAAATTGATGTAATTTATTTACAGCTAATTTCTCTGATGTTTGGAAGCTTGGCATCCTTCATTGAAGATGAAGATTATTTTTAAGTCTGTTCCAAGACAATAAAAGAACTAACAAACTTTCACCATTAGATGGATCTTTATAAACTATGACTAGACATGCAATTTCACCAGCAATTCATTGCCAATAGGCATATCTCTCCATGGTATTATTACATTTGACTAGATTTTGTACTGAGATTGTAAAAATTAAGCCTTGAGTGGTTTTGTCCTTTGTAATCTAGAATCTAGAAAGCTAAACAAAATTAATTTAAAAATAATCAACGAACCATGCAAGACAGACCTCAAATAGGAAGAAAAATTGCCACAAAATGATGCAGTCATAATCCTTTAGATTCTGAAACAACCTTCTTCACTTGTTTTCACTTGTTTACACCGTGTTTAGGGTAGCAGAGTAAGTAATAATGAAGTAAAATTGTTTCAGAAAAGATTAACATGCCAGGAAGAGAGAACTATGAAAAAGTGTGTAGGCTGACTTGACTAGTATCTTAACCTCCTACAGAATGATCTCTTCAACTTTCATAACAGCTGAATTACAAAAACTTTCTAAATCTTAGCAGTGTCTTTAAAATGAGCATTTTAGGTACCTACAATGGTTTTTTTCTCTTTTTATTGACAGAGCTGGCTTTTCATTTGCCATTTTATTTACCAAAGATTTCACCTAATAGATAGATTGATCTTCTACAGTAAAAACAAGAGGAAAATTTTCCAGATACTGCATCTTAACACCACTGCTACCATATTTGCACATTTGTTGCCTTAATTTATATTTGAACTCTACTTGAAAATGGCACTAATTTTCCCTAAAAACAAATACACACACAAAAATGAAAAGGAAAGCAAAAAACAGAGGATGAACGGCATATCCAATTCACCAGATATGCTAGATATGTGAACTTCAGACCTACTCGGGCCAGATTTTCACTAGGTCCCTATTGAACAGTTTATTCTGTGCTGAGGATGAGACAAAAATCACTTCTCTTCAGCAAGTTTGCAACTATAATCAAGAAAGTTTGTCAGCAACTTGCTGAGTTATTGTAATCGGGAAGATAAAAATAGAACTTTAACTTTATGTTACATAAAAGCATATCTTAAAATCAAGTTAATTTGCAATTTAATCAACAGTAGTACATACTTATTCTACTCTTTTCCATCAATAGAGTGGGAATAGAATTAATTTCTCATCATTCCCAAATATACCTTCTAGCTATTCTATCCCACTTCTTTCTGTGTTCTAATGTCAATGCTTCATAAACTCAGTCTTCTACCTGTCAGGTCTGTGAAGCTTTTATCTTCTGCACTAAGAACATTAGCATTGATCCACATCTAGAACTGAGATTTGTAGAGAGAGATGTAATTGTGCTATTAAACACCAATAGCGTCCAGAATGGCTTACACTGTGAACATAAACAAGTGGAAAATTCCACTCATCCTATTATGGAAGCTCTGAAAGTGAAGTACTAGAAGCATTTCCTTGAATCTTAGTATGAAGGATAGGGATTCTGATAATGAAGCCATATAATTAAATGAGCCATATAATCTGCAAAAAACCTAGTAGTGATCTGAGTGACTCTGAAAAGTAGTGACTAACACAAAATAGGTACTAGTTACATCCACTTTACCTCGTGTCCACTGCTTCTTTGGGAATAGCACAGAATCAAGAGCCAATAAGTCTTTTTAAAAGTGCACTCAACAAGCAAGTATTCTGAATTACAAAATTAACAGGTAGCTTTCTTCCAGCATCCAGTAACTATTTGAACTTATCAAGTCTCATTTGATTCACCATTCTGACATTTCATGGCTGCCTGCTATGAATAGACGTATTTTGGCCAGGTGAGTTGTCTCAAAACCATTATTCTGATGATATATATAATCCTAGGTTTCAGTTCCACACAGATCCTTTCTGCTCTATTGTATCATGTGTACTAAACATTAAGCAGAGCATACCACCCAAAAGAGCGTAGGGAACCCTTCACAATTCTCCTTGATACCAAATCACAAAGGTGTCACAGCAATTCCACACGGCCCTCTTCGACCGTGATGATCTAAACCTTGCTACAACTGAATGACACTGAGCAAAAGTGATGATCTACAGACTCTTCTCTTTTGTCCTACAAATGCAGCATCCTACAGATGCAGCTGTGGAGCTCTAGACAGAAATAAGCTGTGCTAGAAACAAAATACAGCTGCAGTAAAATATAGCTACAATAAAAGCAGATATACACTTTCAATTCAGAAAACTGTAACTTCTCGATGTTTTATTAAAAGGCTGGCCAGATTAAACTGAGAGCCTGAGATAATATTGGTTCAATGAATTTCTAAAACCTTATACAAAACAACTTTCTTTCAGGCTGTGCCTAAAATTCTTTGTGTGTGTCAGAAATTATAAATCAGACATTCAACCTGCTCAGAGACGTACAGTTTCAGTACCACTTTTCTACCAATTTAGAATGAGATGTTTTATGAAATTGCAGGTTAGCATGATTTAATATTTATGTTTTTGTAGAGTTTGTAGGTCTATCAATTATGATTAAATGCTGTACCAACATAAGAGATAGTAGTTATAGCCCCCATCCAATCACATTTATGTCAGAGATGAAACAGAACAAATGAGTAGGGTGGGCAGTTCCAGAGACTACATAACAACAGCATGTTTAAAGTTCTCTGCTGTCAGAAACAGAGATCTTATATCACCACTAGCCTGGCTAGGATCAGATTGTAAATGTCTGTTTCCATTTGGAACAACACATGACTTACAAGAGCCTGAAAAAGACTGGGATAATTCAGATTTAATTGACATGTAAAAGATATCATGGGAAATGCAAAGGCAGTTATATAATCTTCATATTCGAATTAAGCACCTCCTGGCCCTAAGACACGCATTTTTATCTTGCATAAATTAAAAAAAAAATAAGACAAAACAAAGACTTGGATAAAGAGAGTGTCTAATCCCACTCAATATTTAAGAATAAGAAAATACATCATAACTATACAGATTCAAAAATTCTTCCCACTATTACCTCAGATAAAACCTATAGAGATGACATTCAGAGACCACCGCTGGAAAAGGTCCCTCATAGCTAAATCTGACATTGTGCCAGGCCAGTTGCAAAGTTTTCTGCCTGTATGAATTTGATCTTTCAGTCACCTTTCACTATAGGTCCCTGCCTACCAAGCTCTGCTGGAACTGCTCTACAAGGGCCACCTGTAGAACATTTCTCCATGAATTCAGGACAAGCAAGTGTAATTCTTTTGCAGGTTTATTTTTTCTGTGCTGACAGCAAGGGGGGAACTCTCCCACACTATGCACTCCTTTTCTTTTCAAACAATGTAAACTCAGAAACTGTGAGAGGTCTGCATGGGATGAGGAATGTCAATGGCTCAGTTCTCACATACATGGTGAGAAACACTTATCTCTGGGTCCTAGAATTTTCTGAAAGCAGTTCAATGCTGGAGCTGCTTCACAGCCATGAACAGTACAGAATGAAATTCTTAGCCTATAGAAGCACTTAGCCTGTAGAAGTACCAGTGTATTTCTCACTTTCTTCTTTATCCTTTGTTTTTTAATCAAAATCTACCTTAAGAGTCTGACACTAAGACATCTCTCTAAAGACAACAAATTTGAAGAATGTTAGTTACAGAAGAATAAGCTGCCTTTGTTATATTGTCAGCCTGCAGATTCTCATAGCAAAGAGAGTTATTCTTTCCAGAAGGACTGAATGAGGAAAAGAAAAAAGAGCAGTATTTGTAAGATATACAAGCTTATTTTATGAAGCAAAATAGTTTGGACCACTGCAGACCAGATCTTAATTACATAGTCATACAACAGTGCTTCAAAGGTAGTCCACGGGAATAATAGTCTAGTTAGATTAACACAAGTTTGGACAGTTTTGAGATTTTAAAGCCTCCAGAAAATTGAACACTCTCTCTTTAGGATGACTACGTAGCTTGTAAACACAGAACTACAGTTCTGAGTAGATGTTAGAGCAGAGCTCCTTCTTTATAAAAACTGACAGGTTAAATTCACTGCAGAAGCAGATTTAAGATTTCGCAATATTTGACCATACGCTTCCACCTTGATCTGACATTTTGTATTAACTTTCATCTATAACCACTTTAAATTCTCAAATGTATTGTACACTTATCCCCAAATATTGTGAGATATAATTATCAAGATTGCAAATGCTCCAGTCTTTGGAATACATGGACTGTTTGAGTTAGGCAGAATAGCACAGCATGCACCCAATACAGTACATGTTTATTATAATTGGAAAGAAAGTAAATTATTTTTAATTTCTTTAAGGTTGTAAAACAACAAGGGTCAGTAAAATTCAGAAGCAATAGATAAAAGGTCTTCAGCTCCCTCTGAAAATTCCATGTACACTGGTACTAATTAAAGTACTAAATAAAGTAAGTGTTTGTTTAATATTGCAATAGTTTCAAACCAATCACTGCAGAAATGGGCAAAATAAGTTTCAGTTCTTCCAGTTTTCCTCAATTCCTGTAAATATTTGACAGAAATACAAATGCTTTTCAATGGCAATTTTGAGCCTACATTTGAAAGTACATTTACATTTCTTTATATCTAGATTGGATCAGAGATAAAGCAGACGTTAAATCAAGACAAGAGTGCCCCTCAGTGGCAGTATGTTGATATAAAATTCAACTATATGATACTTTACTTTAAAATAATATTCTGAATATTTATTTTCATCACTCAGGGATAAATGCTCCATTAAATCATCTTCTTTCAAAAGTGTATCATTACTAAGAATCAAAGCTTTTTAGCATACACAATTTAATAATTAATGAATTCAAGTATGTACATCATCAGGTATAAACATTTACTACAAAACAACAGTTGCTGAGTATATTGGCCTATTACAGCTGAGTGTTTTGTGGTTGGATGTGTGCATACACTTCCTACACTTCCCTGTTATTCTTAAAGAAGAAAGATTGATTTTTGCATAGAGGCTTCTTACAATAATTCTGCAGTATTCCAGTTGTTTATTTAGTTCTGTGTCGCGAGCAGTAAAAAAGCATGCAGTAGTTCTTTGAGAACTTTAAATCTGAATTGCCTGTAAGGCTTGCTGTGTGTACCAGGTCGTATTAATTCACTCAAAGAGTAAAACCTGGCTATACTTTGTACTGTTCATGCACATACTGCTTTCAAAGTCTATCCTAAAACCTGCCTAGGCTCCTGCCTCAGAACTGTGGAGACTTTAGAAGCATACGTCAAGAATATTTACTACAGCCTTAGACAAATAGCACCTCACTGCAGCTGATCACTGGGAACAACTGATGGATACTAAACAATTGCATGGTAGAACCAGAATAGAATAGATGGCTGTTATACTTCGTATGTTCATTAGCACTTGTTATCTAAACTGGTTATGTCTATATCCTTGCTGATGCTAAATTAAATTAAAAAAGGCCTTATGCATAACTATAGTTTAATTTTTTTAGGGCTAAATCATGTCCTCCATCATATCTGACATAAACAGCTGCAACAAAATAGTCATGGCTGATGACACCCAGTGGCAATGATTACAAAATTTGCATTAGCAATTATTCTACACAACAGTATAAAAATGTAATAATTTATTAGCTTCCAAATATGGTGACCAATGCCCAGGAACCTGAAACCTTCTGAGGTCTCTTCACTGAAATTCTCTCACATACATCATGGGAAATTCTCTTCAAGTAAAGTAGTTTTACTTACTAATAGTAACTTTGTCTTTATCCCCCAGCATGACATTGTTTGGAGTGAGATCTCGATGAACAATCTTCTTCTCTTTATGCAGATAACGAAGAGCTAGACAAAGCTTAAAAACCAAACAGAAAGAGCCTTACAAAGATTCTTAACTACAACCTACATAAAGGCACATAAAATTAAATTCGTATTTGATATTAGTGCCTAATATAATAAGCATTACTCTGTCATTTATTAGCCTAACGAATATAAATGCTGCTATTAATTACATTCAGGAAAGTTCTGGTAGGAAAAAAAAATTGAGGCCCTTACTTGGATGAATATATGCCATATTCTTTCTTCTGTAAACTGTTGTTGCTTTTCCTTCAAAGAGTGCAAGTGTTCTCCCAATGGCACTCCCTCTATGAGCTCCATGACTATGTACAACCTGTCATCTACATGAAAGAATTAATAGAACACTAAATCTATACAGATACAGTATTTAAAGTTAACATATGTTTTTTTTAAACTGTTGGGTTTTGTTTGTAAAAACTTTTTTGTACAGACAAATACATTTTAATCGTAGTTCTACTCCTTGTTATTTTGTTTTTTCCTTAATTTATATCACAGCAGCTATAAGGAATTCACTGCCTGATAATCACTCAGCGGGCAGGTGTATGCAGCTATCTATAAAAAAGTTAAAACAATATGGCTGAGTAATCCATATCATTCATTCTACTACTCACTATAGCTTTTCTCCCTACTTAGCACTCCAGTTGTAAATTTTCAATCTTTACCTGTATAGGATGAGGATAATGTTTTCTACGTGTTTACACTGCATCTAGTTTTACTGATAAACAAATATAAACATGATTTTTCACCGTTTTTTCAATTGTAAAGGTATATAAGCCTGGCTGAACTGTAGCAGTTCTTGAAGAAAATATTACTGTTTATTGCTCAAATATTACATACTCCTTCCAAGCTGTAAGTGGTTTTATTACATCTTTCTATTTCTTCATTATGTACAATGTGGTAATTCTCTGCATTTATACTTACTTTCCAAGAAGGTTCTATAATATCGTACAACATTTGGATGATAAAGCTACAATGAGGAAGGAAATGTAGATGTTTAGAATAATTAAACTGGCGGCACAGTATTTAGAATGTTTAGCTACACATTGGAAGGAAGGATTCCACAAACTTGCTTATGAACTGCAGTGCAGTAGACCTTCACTGCCATCCCAAACACAGAGAAGTGTTGCACATTACTAGAGCAATCAGGAGGAAAACACAGCATGATTTCTATCCACTCTCCTCTTAATAACTGAAAGAGAGTAGATGAAGTTTGAAGACAGGCAATTACAGCTGCATCAAACTATTGGCTTTCTTAGCCTAAGAACACGAGTGATCAGTCTGGCTTTTTAAATTTTCAGTTACAAGAAAGCCTATGTTCTCACTGTATTTTAAATCAAATAATTCATTAAATGGAAGAAAGACTCATCAGTTTTCTGTCACAGTCTTAATTTACATAGTCCCTGAAAGAAGTTCAAATACTGCCAACACAGAAAGTAAGAATCTTTAATAACAAGCAGTGCTACCAGTAAGAAGGTTTTCAATATCAGCCGCATTCAGGTAAAAGGGGTCAATATTGTACTGATCAGACAAAAACAGTAACAGCAGCTGGAAGCCCTGCTATATAGAATCATACAATTGTTTAGGTTGGAAAAGACTCCTAAGATCACTGAGTCCAACTGCAAATCTAACACTGTCAAATCCACCACTAAACTACATCCCTCAGCACCACATCTACACATCTTTTAAATACCTCCAGGGATGGGGACTCAACCACTTCCCTCGGAAACCTGTTCCCATGTTTGACAACCCTTTTGGTGAAGAAATTCTTCCTATTATCCATTCTAAACCTTCCTTGGTGCAACTTGAGGCCATTTCCTCTTGTCCTATCACTTGTTAGTTGGAAGAAGAGACCAATCCCCACCTTGCTACAACCTCCTTTCAGGTAGTTGGAGAGAGCAATAAGGTCTCCTCTCATCCTCATTTTCTTCAGGCTGAACATCCCGGTTCCCTCAGCCACTCCTCATAAGACTTGTTCTCCAGACCCCTCACCAGCTTCATTGCCCTTCTCTGGACACACTACAGCACCTCAATGTCTTTTTTGTAGCAAGGGGCCCAAAACTGAGCACAGTATTTGAGACGCAGCCTCACCAGTTGCTGAGCACTGGAGGATGATCACTTCCCTAGTCCTACTCACCACACCGTTCCCGGTACAGCCCAGGATGCTGTTGGCCTTCTTGGCCACCTGGGCACACAGCCAGTTCATATTCATCCGGCTGTCGACCACCACCCACAGGTCCTTTTCTGCCAACCAGCTCTCCATATGAGAGCTCACAGTTAATAATGGTAACAGCAGAATGCCCATACATGAAACTAGAGTCCATGAGACATACCTGCTCTTTGATGATGGTTAATTCAGAGACAATGTTCTTTACACTGCTGTCTCTGTCTTTTTTGTCCTTTCCAAATGCTGGATTGTGTAAATTGACTTCTTTCAGTGCCAGGAGATTCTGTCCATTATGTTTTCTAACCTATGAAAAAGTTAAAATCCTTGTAAAATTAATATAGGATAGAGATAGAAAGGATATTATTTTGGCTACCAGATTAGTTATCAGAATCCAAACTGTCTCACAAAAGTTACAATCATACCTTTTTCTGTATATCATGCAATTAGCCAGAAGAACTGAAGCCCCACAATGCAGGACAGCGGCACACTGCTGACACAGCCACAGTGTTTGAAGTAACATTATCTGTGGCCAGTGCTGCTTTTCAGACAAAACATGCTTGAATTTTGGTGGTTTTACACGGATTTGTTAGCTTTTGCAGTAGATGGAAGTGCTGTTTATTGAAAGGAATTAGAGGAAAGTAGAAGTAGAAAACCTAAGAGGTACGTAAGTCAATCTTACAAATAAAAAGGGGGACAAACAAAATCACAGTAAATACTAACAAGCCCAGATTCACAAATGTCTTTTCACACCTGTATTCCTCTACTGAAATTCAAAGGATGGTAGTTCCTAAAAGTAACATTAGACCCTATTCATTAAGCCTCCCTTTAAACCTGTAAATTAATACCAAAAAGGAAGTTTACCTTATACACGCTTCCAAAAGCTCCACTACCAAGGTGCTCTAAAATTGCATAATTGCCTATATGTTTCGTAGGTGCCTTGTTCTGGTTCATGTTCTCAATACTTTCAGCAATTTGCTTCAGTTCATCCTCCTGGTTATAAATTAAATGACAAAAAAATAAAATATTTCATGCCTTTCTTGTACTAAGAATATGCAAAGAATACTTCTTCTTAAAGCTATGATGGTTTTTACTCACCTTTAATAAATTCAGCTTTGATACCAACTCTTCATAAGCACTGATATCACGCACATAATGTCCAATATCAATGAAGATTTCAAACAAGTCAGTAGGGAAAAGTCTACAAAGGTTTAGATTTTGATATATTTTAGAAACAGCATACACAGTAGCTATTAATCTACAGCAAAGACTTTTCAATGTTTATTATTACAACTTACTTTAGAACCTTCTAAATAATACACTTATTTTTTACTAATCTATTCAGATATTAACCCCCTAACATACATAGGAGTTAAAGGACCTTTCAAAAGTCAGACTTCAACCTTCATTGGTTGGGTACTAATATAAATGCCAGTTCTTCAAACAAGTATAAGCCTTTTTTGAAGTCAATGCACCTCCTGAGTTTTCAGTAATTTTCCTATTTTTTTCTTATAGTACTCCACATTATGCTTATTGTCACTTTATCTGAATTCCTTTTTGTAATGCATTAAGTGACAGGATTAACATTTGTCTGCATTTAAAGAATCATGACACCCATCTTAGAATTTTTGTCCAAGTCTACTCTAAAAGCTGAAAAGGACTCTGAGAAAAGCAAAAGCTAACAGATAGTAGGCAATATTTGATTAGTGACAAGTGTAACTAAAGGTTTGCTTCTTTTTAAAGTTCTGGCAGAAGTAGAAATATAGAAGATTACGGCATTTGGAAAAATACAGGATGACAGAAAATTAATACAAATTTATCACTTTCAAAACTTGATACCAACCATGAACATTCATTACATACTGAGGCCCTTTCAGTACAAAAAATACTTTTAAAAAGTAAAAGTAAGACAAAAGTTATATCTAGAATTCTAATAATTTACGATACAGAATAAAATCATACAGAAACACTACTGACAGGGGGACCATCTAGGCAGAATGATTACTATCCTAATCCCACAAATCAAACTGTCAGGTTTCACATGGCCTTTGTAGCCAACTTGCTGAAACTGTCATCTTACTAGTAAAAATGGGTAATTGATGAAAGACATTTTCTCCTTATTGATCCAAACCTTTCAGCAACACTCCTAAGTAAACCAGCTTGATGCAAAGTCATTCCCATGTGAAGGATAGGAGGGCTCAGGAAAAATTTACTGCTTTCAGTTCCTTGCTGCTATCCAGGGCTGTAACTTGCATCTGCTAATCTTCAGTATAAAAGTATGGTTTGTCTCCAACAGTATTAAATCTGTCCTCAACATATTTAAAACTTTGATTCATGAGGAAGGAAGGAGCCCCTCCAGAGTTAGCTTCTCTGGCATGCGTACAACAGAAGTCCCCACACCAAACACCTAAATCTTGTAGGCTGACACTCGTGCAATGCAGTAATGTCTGTCTGGAGCTGTGGACAGGGCAGAGCTGCCCATTATTACTATTTCTTCTGGCTGAAAATAAATTACATTTAAAAAACATGTCTTTCTGATTGATGGCTTTTGAAAGCTATCCTAAAAGAGTTTCACAAAACATTTTGTTGTTAACATACCTTTTAAAAATATGTCGATTTCTTTCCATACTGAAGAGAAATCTCAGAGCTCTGAATGCATAACACTACAGCAAGACAAATATTTAAATTAATGACAAATTTATACAAAAATGGAAAAGACAGCAATAATCATCAAGGATTCCCCTTGACTTTACACATCGGTAAACTTTGTACTTAAATGACTAGATAGATTACATTATTAACCTGATAATGAAGAGAGTAAAAATAACGTTAAGTTCCTCCTGTAGTTTAAAAGTAAGGAGGGCCATTTCAGGAAAAAAAAAAGTGGGTAACTTTGGCTATAGCACATGCTGAGAAACATCTAACTCTTCATCATCTCTTTGTATTTGCAGATACCTCAAGACTTGAGACCTGTTCTCTTCTCCAATACTGAAAAAGGTAAATGTAATCAGTGGTTTTGTAATGAAGCAGTAGAAACAGCATTTTGCATTCTTCCTGAAAAATGCAGTGTAGAACACTGTAAGTTCTAACAGGCAACAAAAAAAGGAAAGTAAAAAAAGAGAAAATGCCCAACTTTTTTGATACTGGGTTCATCATATTTTAAGAGATCTCTGTGTACCTCAGTTTCTGTCTTAATGTACCTTAGTTTCAATATGGTCTCTACTGAAGAAAGTTTATTTTTACAAACAGCCATTAGCAGGTAGTTAACTTGTATGCTTGTATATAACTCATCTTTAATTCTGTTTATCAAGAGTCAATAATATGGCATATATATGGTTGACCAAACAAAGATGACTATATAAAGCAAGCCAAAGGGAAATAAGGTATTGATATCTGAAACAGTGCAAATAGTAGGTGTCTTTAGCATAACTTAGAATTACTGTATTGCATTAGTGACTAAAACACTACTACAGTCCAGTATGATAACCCCTATTTAGAGAATGGTAACAATGTCTTAGCGATAACTGCAGAATTAATCACCATGTTGAAAAGAAATCTTTCAATATATAGAAAATGCATTAAAAGAAGAAAATAAAGGCCAAATGCTACTTTTGAAGGAAGAAAGATAACTGAAATTTTATAGAAAAGGAATGTATGTTAATGCTGCTAAGCTGTTTCTTTTACAGATGTTTCTTTTTAGTCCAAAAGTAAACTCCCCCCATCACAAGAGAAGGATGGTGTGTTAACCATGTCTAACATTCCACTGAGAATCACAGTCACAACTCAGCAGTACAAAGTAACCCAGACTGGCTGGGCCATAAATGCTTCCTTGAAAGTTTTTCATTTTAGACACTAAGCATAGATCTTTCTGTAGAAAACCCATCAGTGAAGGGACATGATAATAGATTAATAATAAGACAAACAGATATTTTAAATAGCAATTATATTTGTCTTTCTCACATTAGTCTTTTGGGATTGATGTTTAACATTTGTGATATGCTTCAGTCAAGCCACGATGAGATCTTTATATATGGTAGGTATGCAGAATAAATGACCGAAATCACCGCCATCCTTGAAATAATGGAGTAAGATCACTACGGTTGTATGGTAAAAAGAAATTGAAAATTGTTGAAAATACAGACTATGGAGCAGTACAGAAATAAGATCAGCATTGTGAGAATTCAATGAAATTCAAAAAGGGTATTCCAATAGCTGCAGTTAACAATGACAATACAATGGCAATACCTATAGCTTAGAGAGACATCAACACCATTTCAGAGGCTGGAGAAGAGCTACCAGATAATTAATTATTATTGATAACTTTTAGTCAAAGTTGACTTAAACCAGTATGTTTATGGGGGTACCACAATGCAAACCCAAGGGCCATTCTACACTTAACTAGCTCCATATTTATCCTACATTGACATTTGCTCTACTCCATGTGATGTTTTCCTGTATTTTATTTAACAGCCACAGTAAGATGCTCCAGAAAGAAATAGATATTAGTTCAGTGTCAAATCTACAGTGAGTTTCAACGAAGACCAAGGCACTAAAAAGAAAATCTGATGCTGGGCCACCTGAAAAAATGGAAGAAAGTTTATCACAAGAAAAATATCCATTTTCCTTCACACTATATGAAGTGCCAGAAAGAAAGTAGATCAGAACACTAGAAACTGAGTCACCATTTAACTTTTAGTTCCCGGGCCATTTGTTCTTCTTGGATTTGTTTTGGTGGGGTTTCCCCCCCCTCCCCCCCTGCTTTAAGTAAGATTTTTTTTACTGCATTTTAAAATAAACTTTAAAATAATAAAAAATTCTCAGAGGCTTTCAATGTGCAATGATAAGAAAGGGAATTACCTGCATTAAATCAGCTTTTTCAACATTCCTTTTTTTGTTTGGTAAAATCAGCTTTGCTATTGTATATATTCCATTTGCCTAGAAACGGAGAAAGGTCAATATTAATAGCACTCCTTTGCATAGAAATACTTGTGATTTGACTATGTCTGGAATACATTGCAAGGATTTTAAGAACAGTTTTCAGAACCATTGATTCTAGCTGTTTTAAATATTATATTTTAAAATGCAGTTTAGAAACACAACCCTGGGGTTGGAGTGCCAGGAAGTTACCTCAGAAATACCAAATTCCAAGGAAAAGAGAAATTGTTTGTGAAACAACAACGCTCCAATACTAAGCTGCACAGAGTTTGCTTTAAAAGGCTTCATGAAATTCAGAATTTGTTTTTTTCAGTTAATGCCATGTTTACTCTTATTTACTATCCTATTTTGAGTATGGCAAAAGCATGGTACAAGATGTCAACAAAAATGAACCTTCTCTGCATAAAGCTGCTTATTCTCCCTGTTGATATCTTTGTGTATGTCTCTGTATGTAAATGTATAACGAAACAGAGATACTAAAGTTATATAAAGGCACATTTTCCAATCCCTTTCAAATGCATTTTTTTTGTTAATTAAATAATGGTGACAAATAAGAACAATTAAGTCAAATTATAAACTATGTCTTACTTTATTGAATTAAGTCTTCCTACCTGTACTACCTGGTAAGCGTTAGTCTCATTGAGCACCAGTTCAGTAATTGCAGCACAACAAGCTAGAATAAAAATTTAAATGTAACATTTAGGGCCTGATTCATAGATATTCAATAACATGGTAGGTTAACCTTAGCTAAGAGTCAAATGCCCATCCAGCTTTCCATTCACTCCCCACTCCTTAACAGGACAGAGGGAGGAAATAAGATGGAAAAGCTCAGGGGTCAAGATAGACAGGGAAGTCACTTACAAGTTACTGTCATAGGCAAAACAGACTTGACTTGGGGGAAAAAGATTTTAATTTAATGTCAATTAAAATAGATTTTGTAAGCAAAAAAAAACAAACACAAAAAATTAAAACACCACCTTCTTTCCACACTATCCTTTTTTCCACCGCCAGACCCATCTTCACTCCCAACTCCTCTAAGCAGTGCTGGGGGGTGGTGGATGAAGGCTACAGTCAGTACATAACATTTTCACTCTACTGCTCCTTTCTCATCAGACTGCTCCTCTGCTCCAGCATGGGTCTTCTCCACACGCTGCAGCATGAATACCTGCTTCACCGAGGTCTCTCCCATGGGCTGCAGGGGAATCTCTGTTCTGGTGCTACTTCTTGCTACTTCTCTGACCTTAGTGTTTGCACAGCTGTTTCTCACAAACAACCACTCTTTTTTTCTTCTCCTCTCCTGCCCTTTCTTAAATATGTTCTCACAGATGCACCACAAGCTTCACTGATGGGCTTCACTTTGGCAAGGCTGTTGTGAAGCCAGCTGGAACTAGCTGTGTCCAGGACAGGGCAATCAATCCCTTACCTCTTCTGACAAGAGGCCAGCCCTGCAGGCTCCCTGCTAACAAAACCTTGCCACCCATGCCCAACACAGAAGGCTATAAATATAAACAAGTACTCAGAACTGAAAAAGACCCCTGTAAGTTCAGTGCTTACTCTTTCTTAGGAGTCCTTAAGGAAGGCAGAAGTAACTCAGAAATATGCTCCATACTGGCAATACTTTTGGTATTGCAATTTATTTCACATTACCAGCTCTTCAGAGGTAACATTCATGATAAAGTGTTCAAAAACACATATTATGTTACAGCTTTCTGGAAGATATTGCAAAGGCTAATGTAATTCCTAGTAAGGAAAAAAGACATGATCTTCCAGAAGGCATTTCAGAATGGATAGTTGACATGTTATTGAAGAATCTCCTCTAAAAACTATTCTCTCCATAGCTACTGAGGATTCCTCACCTAACTGGTAGTCTTTAAAATACCATTTTGAAAGAGTTCCATCATAATCAATTTATGATTGATCTACCATAGTAAATTTGAATAGAGGGAAAATACGATCAAATAAAAAAAAATTCTCAGTCTAAACCCAAAATAAAATATATATATATTTGAGATGTTTTTACAGGTGGAAGAAATATCTATGATTCCCATGTACTTAATACTTTATCCTTTTACTTCTTTCTAAAAGAAGTGTGCTTTTTGAAAATATGTGCTGGTCTTGCACATTTAGAAATAAACACAGCTGACTTGTTGCTCCCACTCCCTAAAGCAGGTATAAAAGTCTACAGTTTCTGTTTTGAAATATTTTGAATGCCTTTGTGCAAGTGTACGTAAACACATACCAGAGGATCAGGCCTTATAAACCTACCTGCTTGAAGTGAGAAAGTATTTTCTTGCATCTCATCAGGACTCAAATCATCTGACAAGTGAAGATGTTGGATTCTCCCTGCTGCATTCGCACTAGATAAACTTCCAACTGAAGAGCGATCAGAAACAAGATTTCTTTCCCTGAAAAAAAAAAAAAAAGAAATTCAATTTGCAGTGTAAAAAACAGCTTAACATATCTTTGTTAACCATTTCTGATGTTCATTTGTATGGTTTTCACTAGATTAACTAATATACTTTGAAAAAGCAAACAAGCCTTTAAACATTCCTTTACCACATTCATCAATTATATTCACATTTCTAGTTCATTAAATAGGTGTCTGATTAATAGGGACAGCAATGATGTATTTATTCATTATTTAGTTTATATACTGAAAATATGAAAAACATCTTAAAATAACAATGAAATAAGCATATCTGAAAAAATACTGCTTATTCAATATGTTCTAGATAGCATTTTAATTTCTGCAGACATCACATACAGCTGAATGAAAACAAGATGTGATTTGATAAAACAGAGCTTGGTCAAACATATCTTAAAATACGAAACAGTCTTATATAATCGCCACAACATTGAGGACTGAAAACCTACCCCTGTAATATATGAAGGAGCTGCTTGATTCCACCCCAAATTCGGATTTCTGCACTAGTCTCAGGGTCTTCACAAACCTGTACTAGAATCCAAACTATACTCCGTAGAAGTTTGATATGATCAGAATGGAGTAAACTGAGCAAGACTGGAACTCCTTCATACATTTTTATTTGCTCTTTGATTTGTGACTCTGCACAGAGGAGACGTAGCAACTCTGCTGTAAGCCTAAAAGTAATCAGCGAGAAATTTTAATAATAACTCCATCATTATTTTGTACTGTCAGTTAGCAATGGGAAAAAAGACACAGCAGATGTTTAAGAAAGAACTGAGATGTCCTATTAAAAAAAAAAAGAAATTAAAGAAAACTGCTTAGCGTCACTGCAAACTGGTTAAAGACACTGTTTAAAAATAAATAAATTGAAAATGAAGAAGGAGGTCCAAGTTTGCACAAGAGATTAAATTATATTTACATTGAGTTTGACTGTCAGCATAGGCAACCAAGCAAACACAGCCCGGACGAAGGTGGCCAGGTGGACTGCGGTCATCCATGGTACCATGTTCTTGTTAATGGCATTAGTACTACAAGAAGCACTGACTGATTCTTCTCCAGTATGGTTTGAATATTATGTTTACAAAAGGGATTGGAAATATCATTTAAAAGATTTATACAAGATTTTCATTAACTTCACTCCAGTTAAGGCGAACTTTCACAGAAAGCATGGCTAGGGATTTCCATTACCACTTGAAGCAAAAAAACTGCATATGTGTTTGATGATACATATGAATTCAGATTCATATCAGAATTTAAAATTGTTCTTAACTAGTCCTGAATTTAATGAGCTTCCTGTCTGGATTCAAATTCCGGTTTTTATAACAAACTTCTGGTTTACATACAATCTAAGTAATTTCAAACACAAAAAACAAAATCTTTTTGTATATTCAATTTCTTTATCTTTAATCATATGTAAAATAATTCACATGCTTCAAATAATTAAGCATGAAATGTAAAGAAAAATCTCTTCAGAATACGAATGTGATAGGATAAGTGACATAATATCAAATTTGAGAGTCTGTCGGTTCCTTACTGAAATGCAGATATACTATGCTCAACTAGCAGGCTTAGCTGAGAAGAAAGGACATTTAAAGAACTGAAGGACCCTTTATGATTTTATGATTGAAGGGATATAGGGTGTCTGACCCAGCCTTTGGCATAAATTACAACAGCTGTATTTCTTGCAATTTTTTAGTAGTTTACATCAGGCATCGCAGGAACTGTCAGAGTTCAGCATGCTTTCCATCTAATGACTCAGGTCTGCCAGAAGCTAAGAGGAGCTGCACCAAAAATTACAATGTTTATGGTAACATTGCAATTCATTTGCACCACACTGTGCAAAGAGAGGAGATAGCTTATAACAAAATTACTAGAAAAGATTTTGCTATATGAATATCAGACTTAAAATAGGGATCAGAACTTTACCTTGAACACATTAAAGTAGCACGTTATCTAATTCCTCTAAATAAACATGTCCCTAAATGAAGAAGTCAAAATATGTCTTAACACAATTAATCTACAAGCAAAGTCTCACCTTTTAGAAAGCAAATCGTATTCACGTAATATCACCAGCAAGTTCTCAACAATGGTGAGCTCACTTATCTTCTCCCTACATTCTGGACTACAAATTGATTATTTCTGGTATTTACAATCAAATTAAATTATATTATAAAAACACATTGCTCTTTAGCCTCCCTCCTAATACATTAAACCAATTTAAACTTTTTTCTCCAGTCTTAAGTAGTAATATCATATTGTCCACACATATTTAAAGCCACAAAAATATGCTGGGTCAAGAATAACGCTGCAACAATTGCCAATTTTTCCAGTACCAAAAAAAGGAAAAGTGAATGTACAAAAGACACAAATATATTTCATTTGTTTCATACTAGAAATTAAGCAAATTAGGCAATTTTTAAAAACAAATACAATTTCCATGAATATTTCTAATATACTCCAAACACTTTTTTCCCCAGTCCGAAGGTAATACATTTAATTCTGTGAAGAAAATTAAATAGGAGTTGAAAATAGATTTATAACATCATTTAAATTAATACTGGTACTAAAAAAAAAGAAACTGAAGTAGAAAGACAGACATTTGGAAAAAGAGAAAATCCAAAGAAATCCCAGTAAATAAATTCTACTGTTCTCAAGGAATTGTATCTATTCTCTTTAGTTTTCTAATTTTCCTTATAATTTTTCATTTAAAAGATAAAATTATTATACAAGCCTGGAAGTCAGCAGAACAATAATGTAGAAGCAGCACCTTTTCTTCTATAGAGCTACTAAGGATGAAAGATGCTGCATCTTCCTTTAACTTTTTTTCCTTCCATACGAGCTAAAAAAAGTCTTATCTCGATTTAAAACCATCTTAAGTGAAGACCAGGTACATATACATGGATTTGAGTGTATGCATTCATTATTTACTACACTGAAAAATACTATTGCTGGTTATTGTGAGGGACTGTTATATTAAGCTCAGTACAAAAGACTTTTATACGCAGGAAATCAGTAAGAATTACAGAATCCTGCACAGAGATTGCAAAAAGAGATTCTATGACTCCAGTCTTGCAAAGTTCTCCAGGTGACCAAGAAGTCTGCTGCAGTAAACAAAGTTGCTATTTAGTTTCTACTGCTTCAACATAAATCAAGCTTACTTCATAGACCTGCACAGAACAAGCCTGACTTTGAAAAAGAGAAGTCTTCCTTATAAACAGCTGCTTAAGACTGTTTCAAGAGATAACATGAAAATGTTTATTGTGAAGTCCAGAACATAAAGTTGAGCCTACCTTTCTGCTAAGCTAGTCAGAGCGAGGAGGGCACCCAAAAGCACGTTGCTGTCTCTGGCAGATAACAGATTTACTAAGGTCTGGAAAATGAAACACAAAGCAAGACAAATAAATATACTCTTTTCTTTTACAACTTAAACACATATAGAATTATTTACTGAAAAGTCAAAATTAAATACCAAATCCTTACACAATACACTAAAAATCTTGGGCACATTTAAAGTACACTTTAAGTACTCTTAAAGTCTTAGAATACACCAGATTTAAAACAAGCAACAATGTTTCTTCTCAAACTGCAATTAGCATCTCTCTTGACTGCTAAAGCATCTGTCCAACTAGCATACCACTGTAAAAATCTGTTCCTGTTTAAAAAACTTCAGAACTAAATCAAGGCCTCCTGAAGAAAAAAAGCTAATCTTCAGCTTATATTTAAACAATACAGTATGTCATTGAAGGCCCGACATATATTCTGTTAATGATTTATATCAAAGTAAACTTCATATTTGTCTAGATTCTCTAAACATATGTTGTCTAGTTCTATCTGATCACAATTGCTAATGTTTTTCTGCAGCATAATAGAATCGTGAAGCACTAGTTACACTGATCTTGATCCCTACTGTTTCTCAGTTTAGCCACAAATCAGCAATGGTTTAGTATAGATCCTTACACTGGCAGTAATATATAGCAAGGAATGTCTATGTTGTCACTGTCTAGGTTGACACTCTGCCATTTAGACATGGAATGCTTTTAAGTGAAAAACCATAGCAGAAATTTATTTCTAAAATATCAGTTTAAATATATTTATATTAAAATACTTATATAAAATAATTTATGTAGCTCAGGCCAGTGTAAACATGAGTACTAATTTGTATATGAACAAGTTTAGTCCAAACATTTAAGACCTATTTATCTCAAACAATAACCATGCATCAAATTAGCTTATATTCAATAAATAATTTTTATGATACTTCTAATGCATCTGTAAAACACAGAACTGAGATTATCTTCCTTTACAAGCTTGACAAGGTAAGGAATTTACTCCCACATAGATCAAAGCTAAAAAGCATAAGTCATTCAGTTAAGTAGCTAATTGGTTATAATTAGCAGTTTTATAAAGCACTTACTTTATGTGCTCCACTTGCTATAACCCATTCTCTTTGATCTTTAACAGCAGCAAGCTTTTGGAAAATGTCTATGAAACAAAGGAAATCACATAAATTGAAGCTTTACCACTTAATATTTTTCGTTTTACTAATCAGATAATAAAGCAGAACATCAGATAAGTTCTTTGAAGCATGACTAGCTCATTTTACTCTGTTATTTCAATGCATAAAGAGGCATTAATTTCTTAAGGATATATTACAAAAACAAGACGTGCTTCTCCACAACAGTTTCAGTTTTTACTTGTGTGATGATGCCTGCAATTAATCTGGTAATATCTTACTTAATGACCATCTCAAGTATTTAAAACATTTTTAACCTCACACAAATTGCAAGCACCCTTTTACTTATGTTATCAGCTATAACACTTACATGTCATGTTTACCAACTTGTCGACATTGTGTTGCTCTTCTCCGTAATTCAGATAGGCATTTGCTATTGTTTCCATATACTACAAGTAAGGGGAAGGGGGAAATAAAGAGTACTATTAAAAATAGTTTGAAAAATTCATAAGCCTAGAGTGTTATGCAGAGAAATAGCCTGTAGGTGGTGCATCTGTTTCACCAAAAAGGTAAATCTGCAACATCCCACATAATATTGTTGAAAAATGTCAGGGAACAGAAGAGATCTTGAAAGTACAGGAATTCAAAAAGCAGGTGTAAAATTCCACAAAAGGAAAATCCACCGAAGACTATAAAATACAACGACCCTACTTCTAAGGCCAAAATTCCCTTCTTTGCAAGCTGCTAGAGGGTTGATAAGAGTTTTCTGGGGAATTACCGCTTCATGTTTCTGCTTTCAAACTTTTCCCTCAGTACTGACTATTGGCCACTGTTCGGAACAGCCAGATGGATCCTTAGTCCACACAGCTAACAGGCTCAGACTCTAAAACCTACACAATTACAGGAGGGGATTTTTTTTATTTTTATTTTTTTATTTTTTTTTCTTTTTGACATAGCCAACTGGTCAGAAATGGTGGAAATATGATTGGAAATAACCCTAATAACTACCTGGTCAAACATATTTTTCAAGGAAATGAGAATTATCACAGGGATGTAATATCTGTTAGTACTCAAAATCATCATATGATTCTCGGTATTGCTTATACATTGGTTTTACATATGGTGGCATTTTTTAATTTCTAGAACACTGTGTAGGGGAACTGCAGGAGTTTCAAGCAGATGATACAGAGAGGCTGAACTACAGTAGCAGCACACAAATTAGAATGAAAACTCACATGAGGAGGACACTATTATGCGAAGTAATATTGGTAATAATAATTTTATTAGTGTTTTCTACTAAAACACCGTAAACCACTTTAAAATTATAATAGTTTTTTTTACCTGAAGCTGCCCCCCTTCTCCCCCCCCATTTTTAACAGTGTATAAAATAGTCTAATGGAGGACTTTACACTTGTGATTTCAGAAGAAGATTTGGATTCACAATTTACTTTGAAATTACAGCCACTTCCAAATTTCTGAGGGATTTTTGAAAGCCTTAGCTATAACTTTTTTCAAACTGCATTTCAGAGTGCTGGAAACCCTATTAACACTTAATTTTATCTCACTGAAAAGGACACAAAATATTAAGTTCCCCAGAAGTGCAGAAATCATAAAAATTGCATCTCATGACTTTTTAAAATTCTCTATGCCTGCAACACATGCATAGTAAAAATTCTCAATTATATTCTTTGTATTGCTGCCACAGAGGACTCCACATAGAGATGTTGGCAATGTCTCAGAAGGCCATAACACTTTGCAAGCCCTCCAAAAGGTAGGGCTAAGCATTAATGGCATGTGACATCGGAAAACACCAAGCAGTTCCTGTAGGAACTATATCGATTAGAAACTAATAATCTTTAACTCCTGCACTTTAAGGAGGTTTCAAACAGGTGACTGTCTGACCAAAGGGCTCATAGCTCATTATTGGTCCCTTGAAATACAGATGACTCCATAAATATTAATGAATGATGACTGCATTCTACAAAGATACATTTGTTTTAAAAATTCTGATTTCTTTTCTAGAAAAAAAAAAAATTCCCAACAATTTCAGAGATATTCAAGGTATGTCATATCCCACTACTAAATTGGCACTGACAAACAAGTATTAAAAACTCAGGAGTAAAGCAGTATTAACACAGAAATAACAACGTAGCAGTCAGTTATTGATAATGTTTTGTAATGCAAAAGTACTGTAGTCCCCAAATTTAAACCTGTTCAACATTCTATCATTATGCTTTTACCTTTGAGAATTCATTTGCTACAGTTCAAGACGGCTTTACTCATCTTCCTTCAGAAGTCTACTGTTTCATTTGACTGAACCAATTGTTCAGACTTTTCTAATCCTTCTTCTACTTCAGGAGGCATTTGTTAAGTCTCCTAACTAAAAATCCTTGTTCAAATTCTGCTAGATTATAAGGAGAGCTGTTTTGTGCACTAGTGAAAAAAACCACACCAGCTGTTTATGTGCAAACAGAGGAATAGACTCACTTCTTTCCATAAAACAAGAATACATGTACACTGCTTTTCACAGTGTATTTCATTCTAATCATAATAAACTGACATGCAACATAACGGATAAAGGTACTATGAGGAATTCTACCTGAGCTAGATTTTCAATCCCACCCAAGCTGTGGAGCATTTCCTAGAAGAAAATAAAAAATAAAATAAAAAAAAGAGTCAAAATACAGAAAACACTAGAATGAGAGAGCATTAGAGTATAAATGCTCTGTTTCTTATAAATATTGAGAAACCCTAACTCTAGTGGTCCAAGTCAATGGATTCTGGAGATGTTTAACATCTCAAGAGTTCAGAATTACTTTCAGTAAGTAGAAAAATAAAAACATAGAAGAGATATTTTAAACATTCTAAAACTGGAAAAATGGTATAAGCTTTGGAATATGTAGGAAAAATATACACAAATCCAAATATCTTAACAAATGTCTCAGACTTAGTCCTATGAATAATAACTGTAATAGCCAAAATAAAATTAAAAGCTAATTGTTTGGAGTTTCAGAGCATTGGGCTGCTAGGAGGAACAGGCAGCTTTCAGTTTTCTTCACTTACTAAATAATGGGAATTTTACATATCTGTATGGTAAAGTCAAGTATGAAGTCTAGGGCTCAGAGCAATGACCAAGTTATGAAGATTTACAGGTTCTTTGTTAGGGTTAGCAATAAGAGACACTTTGTAAGAGATATCAGAAATTGAGCAAGTTATGCAGTAACACTACAAATTCACTCTTGGAATTTGTTTGTTTGCAAATCACACCTTCACATATAGAAATATATGTACATTCATATAATAATACATCCATAAGTATGCATGTTTTTGTACACATGCACCAACAAAACTCATATGCATGATGCTTACATGTATTCCCTTATCCAAGCAAGAAACAATATTTTGATATACTGACCTGATAGCATGGATCCCTTATTAGTAATCTCAGGCAGATTAATACTCTAAGAAAATGGATGGATGGAGCCTGATTAACCCACTCACTGAAAAAAAAATATTCAAAACATAAGCCAAATATAATACAAAAGTATTAAAATACTTAAATAAAACTATGATTAGGGAATCAGTTGACTAGAAGATTAGTAACTTACAACAGCTGAAGAACATACTATACTATAGAACTTTTAATGCCATTTCTATTCAAACATAGTAACAGCTTTAAAGAAAATGATTTTCTTATATGAACATTGCCAGCCATCACTTATTATCACTGAACTGATGCAGGAAAGTACATGCTTATCTCTAAGCACAAACTGATCATGCTTTGATACAAACTTACTTTAAGCGTTTAGATCAAGGCTCAAAAGGGCAAAATCACTGAGAAAACACATACCAAACTTCAGTGCAAAAACACATGTACATAAAATTTAAAACAAACCACATGGGTGCTACAGAAGTAAAAAGCGCTAGATTTGAAATAATTTTTGGAATTATCATAATCTAGCCTGCGTTTTAAAAACTATTACCATTAGTCCTTGGAACAATTTTTTATTTAGTTTAAATCTTCTTGATATAGGATTATAGTTCCAAATAGAACTTCCTCTTTTATATTTCTCCATAGAATCCCCCAGCACAAGACTCGGCAGAAAACACTTCAGATACACACAAAGGATTGAGGGGCAATAATCCTGCATAAAATACCAGTAATGGAATCACCATTTCCATTATCTATTGAAGATATATATCCCTATTTTCTTATTTTAAATAAACCTAAAATTGGATATCTTTGTGGTGCATTTTTTTTGTTGTTATTTTAACTGAGGGAACAGAATCTGTAATATCTGGGCAAGTTTCCAAGGAATGGAAAAAAGTCTATGAGATGTGGCAGTTCTCTTCCCTTTTTATCATTTGCAGTTAGGAATGATGCCAATGTCCAAAAATACTTTGATAAAAATAAATGTTTTACAAATAGTTACTAACAAAATCTCAGCCTTTCTATGCCAATTCTCTGCCCAAAGTAATACTATTTTTCATTATGCTTCCATAATTGGACACTTCAGAACAGCATGAAACTTTGTAGGTCAGATTTTAAAGTGGCCTGAAGATCATAACCATGGTGGATCTACAAAGTTTGGTTTTTTTCGAAAAAGCTTTGACTCTTAACAGAAGTTAGTTTCTTTAATGGAGCAACACATTGGTCATGTTTCCAAGCAGGGCCAGTAATTCTCTGACCCTGGTTAACATTTGAGAGTCTCTTCTGCTATAGTTACATTTACAGTACACGTTACTAGATACACTAGTGTATATCCAGGATACGCCAGCAGGATTTTTTCAGCCTGCTTTGTTATACTCCTTAGGCAAATTACTTAAGTTAAGCTGATCACAGGTTTTTTTGTCGAGAGAACTACCTACAACCAGGCCTTCTGTTGACACAGCGAAGCCAGTAAGTGGGTGTGATTTTTCCTTGCACCCCAACCAATGTAGTTATACCAGCAAAAGCATGTAATGCTGATGAGACTGACGGTTTCTAAGATCTGAGACAATGCAATGGAAGTAGTTCCAAAGAGAGGACACTGTTACAGCCATAGTAAAATATTTATAAAGTGCAACTAAATGGGTTTTACATTCCTACTAATACATGCTTTTTTCATCAACCTTACCTGGGTGCTTTCATTTATAATACATTTGTTATATTTGCTATATATATATATAGCTATATATATATATATTGCTATATATATATATATAGCTATATTTGCTATAATATAGCATTTGCTATTTCATCATCAACAACAAATACTGAAGAAAACAAAAACCAAAATATGAGCTAGGTGTGGCACAATGTAGAAACAGAATTTGGGAAGACACAAAGCAAGTTATTCTTAGAATTTTAGTAAATGAAGCTGAGCCACTGACATCCCACTGGTGTGTACTGAGATGATAAAGTTAATGTGAAACAAAAGAGGTACCAGATTTACAAATCACTTACATGACCTTACTTGGGCTTTAAAATGGAAAAGCACAATACACTGCAGGAGTGTATAGTAATAGAAATCCTGAAAAACATATTCTTCTTTTCAGAAAATACCTTCTTCTATGCCCACCTGCCCCCCCATTTTTTTAAGGTCTTGCAATTCTTCCTCGTTCAAATCAGAGCAGCATAAGAAAGGTTTTTCCTTTCTAATCCTGTTATACACACAAATACAAATAAATATGAACAGTAACATAAACTCATCTGGTTTATGAAAGCCACTCACCTTTCTGCATATACACAGCAGTCCATAAAATACAAGTAAAATCAGAAAAATAAAAATGAAATTAGAAAAGCAAACCATAGATTACAGACACCAGTACAAAGGAGACATGGCAGATGTTAGAATTTTGGTCATCCGAATTTTAACCAGGCCTTCCTTTTTCCATGACACTAATCCAAGCATTTGGTCTTCAAAGTCAAGACATAAGTGGTTGTTTAAAACTGAGACTATGCAGAGATGTTAAAGCTGGTAGTTTCCACATGGAGGTCTATTGTTGAAACATATATGCTACATGAAACATCACCCACACATCTTGGTTCTTTGCTCAAGGCAAGAAAGCATGAGCTCCTTGGATATGAATGTGCTCAATATACTGACCTGCTGGTGAGTCTGTTCTTAACTAAAGCTGTAAAGATCTCTTGAAACAGCTTATGTTTGGGATGCTTGCTAAAATTTCTCTCATTCTTGTAGGTCACACTAATAAGGAAAAAAAAATAAAAAATGCTTAGTTGCTGATTATCTCACCACATCATAATTTTAGATTGCCAAAACTCAATATTAGCAGGAAAAATTAAGAAATGTCATATCAGCAGTTACAAGGGAATAACACAACTTCGTATTTCCAGATACAAACAGCATGGAACAATAGTCTGTCTCGTGCATAAATTGGGACTACTATAATGGTACAATATAGGCTTCCCAAATAAAGAAACCATTATTTTATTTAAACTGACAATATTAACTCTGAACAGTACATGCTGCTGAGTGGGACCATGTGTCTGAAACTTACAAAGGCAGAAACAGTCACAGGTTTAGAAAGTTAAAAATATATAATTTATATCTCGCATAGAATCATAGAATCATAGAATCATTGAGGTTGGAAGAGACCCTTGGGATCATCGAGTCCAACCATCTACCCTACTCTACAAAGTCCTCCCCTACACCATATCCCTCAGTACCGCATCTAAACGTCCCTTAAACACAGCCAGGGATGGTGACTCAACCACCTCCCTGGGCAGCCTGTTCCAATGCCCAACCACTCTCTCTGTGAAGAATTCCTTCCTAATGTTCAATCTAAACCTCCCCTGTTGGACCTTGAAGCATAATGGGTTAACATGAAAGTACAAGACATACGTACAAATATAAACGCCTTCAACACTGCAAGAAGCTTAAGATACATAAAGATGTGCAGAGATGTAACACAGTGTCACATTAACTTTTTTTTTTACCTGAAGTTTTCAAGTTCAGCAACTTCTGTTGGTTCTTGCCATTGACTATGGGGTTTTTGTTCATTGCTTTTGATGTTCTGACGAGCTTTTGTCACACTGGTTTGACTGCTGTCAAAGCGTATTGCTGGAAGCTAAGGAGTAAAGAGTTAGTACTCATGAGTTACACACTGCATTTTAAGTTTTATAAGAATATTATTGAGCAAAAGTACTTTTTGTCAAGTTCTGACTTGAACATTGGACCTAGAATCTGCCATTATAAAATTCACACACACCCCACACAAAACAAAACTGACGTGGTAGAAAACTGATGTAAAGCAAGGCTGGAAAACTAGTACATGGAGATATATAAATTGAAAGAACGGTGACTTTTAAAATTTATAATGGCAAAGCTCAGCAGAATCTGCAACACACATTCATTTCCTATGCTCCTTACTCATCTCACTTCTACAATTGCACAGCCTTCGTATTCTTTTCAGAAAGAATCCGTAGAACTCATATGTTTCAGCTTTCTGCTGAGAAGAAATTCCATGCCTCTATCCAGGAAGGGAGTGCATAACTCCTATCTCACATGGACAATTCCCTGAGTTATTTTGTCATATCTTTTTACAGAATAGAAAGGAAGAAACTGTTCTGGCATTCCAAGGACTCACACCCATCATCATGTCTTGGTTTTCTTTGCTTCAAATAGGAAACACAAGCTTCACTAAGTGACTTGAGGTGAATATTTTACCATGTCCTGTAAGTTTCATGCATTGATATTTATGCCTTGGAGATTTTTAGCTCAAGTGTTATTCTCCAGAGACAAACTGCATATGGTTAAAATGCTGAGGTTTTTTATTTTATATTATTTATCATCATGTTGTAAGCAATACATCTCTAAGCCTACCTTCTCATGACATTGTTGAATGGCATGGAAGAAAACAAATCTGTTAGGCTACTTAACTATGGAACAATATGGAACAGTAATGGAACACAATATCCTAAGCATCTGCCACAAACCATAATCATCATTACTTATAATTATATAATTCTACAGCATGTTTAACAGTTATTGAAAAATACCTGTTGGTTGCTTGACTGAATATTTAAGAGAGACTGAAGTCTTTTAAGGTCAGAATAATCCCTATGGTAAAACACAATAGCACAAATATGCATGTTAATAGTTACATAAAAGTACTTTCATAAGAGTAAAGAAAGTCAACAAGCAACAATGCTACTGACACAAAATAAAGTTTTCTAGTGTTGCCTAGTGTCCCCTAGTGTCCTCATTTTGCATAGAGAAGAATTTATAGCTTCTCCAGAATGCCTTAAATCAACAAAGGTGTAAATAAACTTTGTGACCAGAGTAACAGTTGTCATGTTTATACTGCATTTCAAATTAAAGCATTCTGCTTTGGCAGCTAGTGCAAATTCCACACGGGTCCTGCTGAAGTTCAAAGAAAGATGTGAGATACTATACCTCATAGACATCCCATGAGGTTTTTTGCCTGTTGCTTTTTCTGTGCTCTTCAACTTTTTGTCCTGATCAGGCATTGTGTATCACTATTATCAGATGACTAAAAATAGACAGAATTATATTAGTACAGCAAAAGCAACAAATACTGAATTACAGAACCAACAGATAAAACTTTTAAGGAAAAAAAAAAAACAACCCAGCTCTAACATTTTCTCAACATCAACCCTTAGACATTATATGAATATATCCTTTATAATTCCAGATACTAACAAGAAAATATTTAACCTGACATACAGAAATCTCGTTTTCGCATCACACTGGTAGATAATACTGACTGTCTTACTATTACACTTCATTTTTAGTGGGATTATTCCTCATCTTGTGTATTATTACCATTATTTTTCACCATGGATTATCTACTTAGGTTACAACAGTGCTTACAGGCTGACATCAAGGTTGTATCATACAAGCTGTTGTCCAGACAACAGAGAATATAATGGTTTCATCACCTAAACTGAGAACTAACAACTATCCCTGAGAACTGCATACATCTGCTGCGTATAAGTAGAACTCCTCTGATTTTAAAAAATGAGAATATAATACCACTGTCGGCTCCTTTCTACCCATTTTACTATTCTCTAAATATGGACCATTTGAATGTTCTCTTTGGTGTCTTTTTAATAGGATTTTTCATATGAAATATGATAGCCTCCTTTTTTCTTTGTGCAGTGTAGAATTCCTCCACTATTCATTTTCATTCCTCTTCCTCTAAAGACAAAGAAGAAAACCTGGCAGGAAATAAAAGCATCATAAACTACCAGAAGCTGCTGCTTTCCAGCTGAAAATCAGAGTTATTTCGCAATTGTACATTCTGGCATCAGACAGAGAACTACCCAAAATGCAACTGTTGACAGTATGAACTTTTGCACCATATTAACTCACTCCAGTAAGCAGCCTGTAAGTCCAGATCATCTGTTTCTATTCTTTAGAACAAGCCTTTATCCTACCACTAGTCTCCCCCCAGAGAATGATTGATCTGGATCTCCAGGAAACTCCTCCTCTCTCCTCCACACATCCACTCAAAAGGGTTACTTAAAAACACCTCAGAACAATTCTATTGTACCAGTTACCACCAGGGAATGAGTATAAACAGGATCTGTTCAACCTGTTTTCTGTTCAGCAAAAAAAAAAAATAATCCTGAAATCAGATTAAACTAAATGAAGTTATTTCAATTCATTTATTTCCTTTGCTTCAAAAGCAATAAAAGTTAAGAGAAGCCAAATACATTGCTAAGAATGTTTACGAATCCTCATGAGTAAGAGCTTCCATGTATTGTTTTACTGATATTTGTATTTTATATCCTCTCCCCAATACCCCAATCCATTTAGTATATTACTGAGGCATGACATAATGCAATCAACATCTCACATTTGCACACTATGAAATACTGTGAAACACACAAATTATCAACTTGCTCCCAAGTAAAAGTGTACAAAGGACGTATTTCAACCAATTAAAGAATCATCAAACAAAACCACACACAAAAACAACTTGTCCATGAACAAATACAGTTAAATCTTAAAATTCCCAGCATCCCATTTAACAAAGTAACCCTTGGGTTAGACTTCTAGACCACAACCGCAGGATTCCCAATATGACTAGGATTTCATCCAAAATTGTTAGATCTTTGTGATTATTTACAAAAATCTTGCAACTGTAGACCAACCTTGCTTGAGGGCTGCCAGTCCAATGCTTTTGGTGTTTGCAATACCTTAGCAAAGATGAAACAGTAACAGCTAACTAAGATTTTAAAGGTTCATTGCCATTATAGATCCAAATATCCCTGTACAAAATTGAACCTGACAAACATCAAGCCAAATTCCCTTCACTGCTGTCTGAGAATGAAGGGACGCAGCCCTCACCCAGCTCTGAGGAACCATCCTGAGGTTACCTCTCTATTTCCTAGAGGCCACTAAGCCAGCACAGGCCAGTCAACAAAAAGAGGCCAGCCCTGGCCACAAACTGACCCTGCACCACCTCTTTGGTCTGCCAGCTCAGCATCTTCAGGGGCGCACAGCTCGCTGGACTGGGAAACCTGATTCAGGCTGCAAATAATCTCTCCTGCTTTAACCCTGATTACATTATAGCTTGTCCCAAGTACATCTGCTGTATGAGGACAGGGACAATATGCAGCTTAAAGTGTTGTGCTCTTCAGCTTTACTACAGAGATAAACCAATTAACTAACAGGCAGCTGCTGGTGAGAATGGCAGTCCCTTTCCTTTCCCTTCCCAACCTCAGCCACTCACCTCCACATCTTCAGCTTTTTTGACACAAACCTGAGCCAATGCAGAGAGTTAAGCAGAAAGAAAACCAAATGCTTCTATTTGTAAAGTTAGTTTTCTACCAATTTAGCTCGCTTTTGCAGTCATAGAATGATAGAATGTGGTGGGTTGGAAGAAACCTTTAAAGGCCACCTAGTCCAACCCCCCTGCAGTAAGCAGGGACATCATCAGTCGTCTGATGAGTACCTCTGCTGACAAGGCAGGGGGCAGGAATGCACAGCTGTAAATAGAGGGAGAAAGAGCAGAAAACCCTTTAATCAGTAGCCAGTCATTGAATCAGGCAGGTGTATTACCACCAAACCCTGAGTGAGGGGTAGATAAAAGGAAACAACCTCCAAACTCCTGGTTCCCTTGGATCAGCCATAAACCAAGACGAAACAGACATGAAATATTTCCTTACCTATTCTCACAGTTATTTGACTTTCTTGAAATCATTGAATAAGTTCCCACCCCCGTGTGTCTTCTTTACTCCTGCCAGCAGAAATTTCCATGGAGCCAGGCTATTAACTATCCTCATAACTAACCCCCAGTTATTAAGTGAGCTCCATAAGTAATGTATAAGAAACAAACCAAACAACACTTGCATTCCACTGAAGTTATGCCAGAAAAAGATAGAGGTCAGGCAACTCTTTAAAAGAACAGAAACACATTAAAAGGAAAATGTCTTTAGATCAAGGAGTCTTATTCAATTCCATTTAAAACAATAAAATGAGAGCAATATTAACTAATTCATTTTAACCAGGGATAATTACATTTAATTAGCTATGTTAATTCTATTACATAGAAAGAGAGATGCATTCTGATAGCACTGGCATGCAGGATAGGACAAGAAACATTTCAAGAATGCTGTCAGAAATAAAAGAATTCACATGATGAGAGACGGGAGACAAAGGAATTACCACCCCAGCCTTGATCTGCAGTCCAGTCTGGTATCTGTCTCAGATGACACAAGCACATAAAGCTTCAGAAGGCGAAATCAAACCATCAAACAAACAAAGATACACTGGAGAAAAAAAAATCTACCACCACAAACTTCACTGTACTCGTTAGAAACTCTCTTAAATAAAAAGATGCTTTATAATCTTTATTAGCAATAACTACTGAATATGGATAGTTTGTAAGACAACTGGTTCTTTGGTTTACCCTTGAATTCCTTTCTTAATCACTCCAGTGGCTGAGTTCCGCTGTCTAATTATGCATAGAAGGTTAACTGGCTTAAGCTGGATAAAGAAGCAGTAGATGCATTTTTAAAGCCAAGATATCTTGGCTTTAATAAGACCTTTAATGCTGTCGCTAGATAGGAATGTATCTAATAATATAAGCTGTGTGTGAGGTCAGATGAAAAGTCACTCCTTAAAAGAGCAATTATCAATATATTATTGCCAAAATAGAAATGCCAAAGGAAGCATAAAAGATGATGAAAAGTTCCCAGAACGGAGCTTCTCTTTCTCCGGTCTGATGAAAGCAAAGGGAATTCTGGACCTCTTCCATTCTTGTTGTCAGAAAGCACGGCAGTCAGAAGGAAATTCTGCACTGATAAGCCCATACAGACAACGTCTGAAGAATATTTCTTACACATTTTACTGACTGAATTAATATGGAAATCTGCATGTTTGCTACGCATGAAAACTTCCATATGCATATAGTAACTTCAAATTTTATTTTGTTTAATAATTTCTTTGAAGGTTGTCTGAAGATTAATTAGGATCCAATATTAGGTTCCAGTTTTTCCAATAAATTGAAATATTCAAGCCAGTGCTTGTTTAGGGCTTTGTTTGTTTTCACTCTGCGCCACCCCAGTTCCAGTGGAGCCATAAACGGCCAGGCCTATTCTCAGATTCCAGGAGCCGTGCAATGCAAGTCTCTGAGCTACTTTCCAGATCATAACTTTTATCTGTAGATTCTGCCTAAATCTACCCGGGTAATCTGCAGTTCAGAAGATGTAGGAGAACAAGCGGATTTGTGAGGTCTAGTGAGCAGCTCTGTATCCATGCAAGGATAATACATAGCTCTGTGAAATTCACAGAATCATACACAGAATACATACCTCTGTGAATTCCATCCTCTCTGCCCTCACTACAAGGCAGACCTTGTTAAGGAACTGTACTGCTAGGACCTAGAGCCTCTGGGAATCAGGAGAGACTGCAGCCTTCTGAAGGCTCAGGGCTGGGGAAGACGCTGTTGGGAGGCTTGGGGGAGGGATGGGGGCAGAGTAACCCTTGTTTTACAGGCATTGCTCCTAGTTTGTTAGGCAAAAATTCAGGAGTGAGGTGCCCTCTCGAGTTGGCAGGCGGTGTGCTGCACAAACCCCGCTTCATTTAGGAGCACAGAGATTCCCTGGAGCCTTCACATCTTATTCACCTCTAAGCAGGCCTGGCTCAGCAATTGATTTTTACATTATATTTTTTTCTGAGGTGTTTTATACCAAGCTGCATGTTTACATACATTCCTAAAGGCTAGCATTACCTTTTGAGCTTTTTCATCAACAAGCTGAAACCTCTACTTGATTAGAGTGTGGCCGAAACATGCCATCACCCCCTAACTGCGTGACAGAACGGCCTCGCGCTGAGCAGACGGCGGCCCGATTCCGTTGCCTCCTCCGCCCCCTCCCCAACGCCCCGGTACTTGCCACGGGAGGGGGCAGCGAGGGGCTGCTAGCCCTTCCCGGAGGCCGGTTTCGGGGAGCGGGTCCCACAGCCGCCGCCGCAGCGGAGACGGACGGTGTTCCCCTCCCTCCCTCCCTCCCGACCCT